TTTCTCTTTTTTTTTTGAGAATAAATAGGATATCGTTACGGTAAATATGCCACACAACGTGTTCGTTAATTTTGAATGGGGCGTGTACGCAAGTATTTAATTGAATGGGACTTAGTTTGATAATTTTTTGAGAGTAGAAATTTTGTTCTTTAAATTACTATATACAAAATACATATATATTTTGTCCATTCAACACTTTTTCGAAATTCAGACTTAGCCATCGTTCTAACTGCTCCACGCAAATCAACGACCATCACCTTCATGTAACTTGAGATGGTTACAACCTAGCAATTTTTTCTCGACTCACACTACAACAAAAATAGGCTTTGACAACACTTAAAAGGCAACTTTCATTGATTAAATGTTGCTAAAAGGGTCAATTGCAACGTTCGTGTGGGTATATGTTGCGAAAAATAACATTTCGCAACGTTTCTTAAGTCAACGTTGCGAAAAGTGACATTTCGCAACGTTTTTGGAACATTGCGAAAAGTCTCACTTTTTGCAACGTTCAAAAAACGTTGCTAATGATCACTTTTCACAACGTTTCTAAAAACGTTGCTGAAAATCAATTTTTTCCTTACATTCCAAGAGTGTCAAAACTTTGTTAAAAATTAGGAGCCCTAATTTCTCCTCCTCCTCTCCCTCTCGTCCCGCCAGTCCGCCTCCCTCCCTCACACACAGCTCCATTTCCCATCCTGGACTCAGGCGACCTGCAAATCGAAGAGCTCATTGTCAAACTGAATTTTTCCGGTTCCAAGTTTCAATTGCTTTTTCTTCCCTTTCTTTTCTGTCTTTAGTCTTTCGTGTTTTCACTTTCCTTGGTTCCTCGGAATACAAGTCCTTTACAGGAGAGAATTCAAGGAACAAAGCAACATAACAATGGCGGATGACCTTTTCAAAGATTTGCCACCGCCATCTGTATCTAATTCCGACCAAAATGCACAATCTTCAAACAACAATAAGATCAGATTCAGCGGCACTCAAGAATCTGTACCAATCCCACCTCCTCCCGCTCCTGCACTTAAGAGCGCTCTCAAACGTCCCAAGCCACCTCCTGAATCACAGCTACAAGGTATTTCATGTCATTCCGTTGCAAAATTCAATTTTATTGATTTTTGCTTGTCGAGCCTTCTGGATTTGGTTATTGTTTAAATACTCGTTTTTGCGGTTATACGAGTGTTGTTTAGCTGTGAAAATGGGTTATATTGGTGAATATATATTCTTCAACTTTTAGTGTCAATTGTTTGATTTCAGGGCTTTTTTGAGCGTTTCGTAGCCTTGCAGTGTTATGCTTGCCTTGTGAAGGTGATTTCATTTGTGGTTTATAATTTGTTCAATATTTGATGCGGAATGATGTTTATGACAATTTAAAAATTTTTAGCAACAAATGAGTATGAAATTTTTTATAGTTTTGGTCTAGATGTGAATCGTGTAAAGCCAATTGGGGTTTCTAAAACTGACAATGCAATTAAACTATAAGATTTTTATCCTCGTTAGCTTTTTGGCAGTTCAGCTCTTTAGTAATTCCCTTGTACACCAAAAATATCCTTTTGATTTCTTAAATGTTATATGTTAGGCTTTCATGTTTATGAATTGTTCATTTTGTTTATAAAGTATATTTTCTCTACAACAAAATGTTGAATGGCCCTTGTCGCTCACAGCTGTTGTGCCTGAAAAGTGCTTGAGATTTAAAACAATGACAGATGCCTCGGAAAAGCAAGTTATTGACGCCATGCAGAACATAGCGTCACATATTAAGAACCCATCAAAGTTCAATAAGGCATCGAAGCTTGCTATACAGCTGGTTCACGGTGGTAGTATCAAGCACGCAACTGCTGATAACTTCTTTGCCATACTTAAAGCTGCAATGTTGTCTTTGACTACTTGTAATTAGCCCCATTTATTTACGAGCTGACTATCATGCACTCTTCTTGGCAGCCTAAGATGCAGCTGATGTGAGCTTTAAATTCCTTCCACCTTTTTGTGTTTCCCTTTTTTATTTTAGTAACATGTTTCAATTAATCTAAGCTTGAAGGCACTGTGCCAATAACATGGAATTGACCTATTCTATATATGGCTTCTTTATCTTCTCAAATAGATACCTTGCTGTACAGGTATGGAATTACAAAATTTTAGTTACTTATTTTTCTAAATAGATTCCTTGCTGTACAGCCATATGGAGTGTTGCGAGTTCATTTTTTGAAGAATGATATTTGTTTCTCATATAGGTGTGGACACATGTGCACCTGTTCATAATGTGCACAGATATTGGTCCAAAGTACCGGGAAATGTCCAATGTGCAAGACACCAGTAGTTGAGGCAGTCCAAGCATACTTTATACAGTCAAAAACTGTTAAATCTAGAAGCAACGGCAATAATTGCTGCAACAAAAGCAATTCAGGAGTTGAAGGAGGGGTCGGGTGCTAGTGCGAGGGAAATAAATGCAGAAGTAAAAGAAGCAATTGATAGAGTTAAGGCTGGTTCTCGGCTAGTGATGTCCAAGTTTCAGGCTCCTGCAGAGGGAAACCACAACCTGACTTCTTACTGCCTATGCGATTCATGGATTGGTTGTGATGCAAAGTCTAGTATTAAGTTGAAGGTTTTGAAACGTAGCCGGGCAGCAGGGACGAGGGGTATGGTTTGCAGCACTAGAGTGTTTCCTTTGTATGGTAATTTTTATTATTATTATTTGACAGAAAGTATAGAAGATGAAATGAATTTGTACTTACAGTTGAGTTTAATGTATAAGGATTCAAAAATTTGTAATGAAATTATCAATTTTTATGCAATTTCAAAATTTGTTTACAAGGGTTCATTTTCAATTTTGCTAC